GCCTCATTATACCACCCACCATGGGTTTTCAAATGTAGGTTACAGGGAGGGAAGAGCTTTTTAAATGCCTTCACATCCTTCCCGGGACCCACAGCCATGTCTAGATGAAGACACACGACAGCACCCTCAGTCTTTCTCCCTGGGCTGCTAGCAGTCAAGGGCAGTGCTCATTAGCCTCTTGAAGATTCTCTCGGCCACTTTCCTGCCAGTCTCCATCTCCAAGGGATCTCAGGGCTGGCTTTCAACTTTCCCTCATCGCCCACTTTCATTCTGCCAATCCCCAGCCAGCAGAACCTTGTGGTATCTTCACTTTAGGCCACTGATAACCAAGGCTACCACCTTCTTTTCACAAATGTGAGGTAGGAAGAGAGGATTCTTGGTAGCATGGCAGGAAACACTATAGCATCCCTCTAATCCACAAAGAAGGCTGCCCTCCACTGGCTTGGAGGATCCAGAATGGCATTTCCAGCGATTCTAAAATGAGTCTAAAACATGACTGAGCAGGTAAACGGTTTGACAAACTGTTATGAAAAGTTCAGCTCCAACTGCCGGAGCTTCTGCTCGTACTGGAATTAACCAATGTACAAGACAAACAGGATGACATCCCTTCATGATCAGAAAGAGTGGGCAGGTAGGTAAGTAGGTAGATAGATTAGATTAGACATGATTTCTGGATCAATGTCTTTATTTGACCTGATTCCCTTATTACACCCCAACGTTCAGACACTGGCTGAGTTTTCTGAGACATGTCAAACCCTGTAAGGCCCAGGTGCTTTGGCAAAGCCTCTTACAAAGACCTATACAGGCCTAATTTTTCACTACCGTATATATGTAGACACAGAAGCTTAAGTCTTCATGAGGCATCTGAATTAAATGAAGAAGGAAATGAGGCCCTGCCATAGGATAAAAATGACACCATAATCTTCAAAGGTGGTGTTTCAATTTGTTAAAATGACTACTCCCCAGATCAGAGGAGGCAAACTGGAAAGCTAAAGGAACCCACATATAAATTGTTTTTCATAAACCATCAAAACAGGTAGTCAATACCAACGTCACAACACACACAAAGCCCTCAAAACACAAATAAATGAAAACATGCACCGGTGTACACACACATGGATGTGGAGTGCTACAGAAAAGCAAGGCATTTATATCCACAGAAACACACACTCTGCCTTGAAGCAAAAATCTTTACCAGGTTGTAAATCACTCTCCTATTACTATGCACAGAGGCACTTAATCAAGCGTTGAACCCTAAATTAAAAAAAAGTATGTAGGGCCAGCCGAGTGGCGTGTTGGTTAAGAGCTGGCTTGGGACGCCAGAGGGCCCCGGTTCGGATCCCACATATGAGGGCCAGTGACACTGCCCTCCACAGCTAAGATGCTGAACAACAGCTCAACCTGGAGCTGGGCTGCCATGACCCGCCGGGGACTGTGTAGGCTGCAGCCCCTGTGGCAGTGGGTTGCCATGGGCTACCGTGTGTAGCCCGCAGCCAGCGTGAGCAGCCAGCAGCCCCTGTGAGCGGCCTTCCAGAAGCCGGCGACTGATCTGCCTCGCCCGGAAAGAGCGCAATGATGGTGCCAACTTGGGCCAGTGAAGCAACGTCCTCCACAACTAGACTGAAGAACAAAACGACAACAACTTGTCTGTTCCCCTTCCCCCAATTCCCCAGCGCTGTTCCCATCCCCCAATTCCCCAATAAAAAAATCTTTAAAAAAAAAAAAGTATGTAATTCATTTGTTCAGATTTTTAAAAGTCTTTCTTCAGAGGGAAAATGAATACACAACTAAGGCCTGCATATCTGAGTTTGTAGTTTTTCAAAAATAAAAAGTATGCATCATACCATAAAAAAAAGTTCTGTATTCTTTTTTTTTTTTTTAGATTTTTTTATTGGGGAATTGGGGGGATGGGAACAGTGCTGGGGAATTGGGGGAAGGGGAACAGGCAAGTTGCTGTCATTTTGTTCTTCAGTCTAGTTGTGGAGGACGTTGCTTCACTGGCCCAAGTTGGCACCATCATTGCGCTCTTCCCAGGCGAGGCAGATCAGTCGCTGGCTTCTGGACGGCCGTTCACTGCGGCTGCTGGCTGCTCACGCTGGCTGCTGGCTACACACGGTAGCCCATGGCAACCCACTGCCACAGGGGCTGCAGCCTACGCCGTCGCCGGCGATTCAAGGCAGCCCAGCTCCAGGTTGAGCTGTTGTTCAGCATCTTAGCTGTGGAGGGCAGTGTCACTGGCCCTCATATGTGGGATCCGAACCGGGGCCCTCTGGCGTCCCAAGCCAGTTCTTAACCATCGCGCGACTCGGCCGGCCCAAAAGCCAGTTCTTAACCATCGCGCGACTCGGCCGGCCCAAAAGTTCTGTATTCTTAACCATTGTCGAAAATATGAAAATCTACTCCCTGGCAACCTCGTAATCCACTGCTCGTGAAGGCTCTCTGTTCTCTGCCTTAGAGCTGACCCAAGCCAAGCACTCATTAAACACAGGTTACAGGTTACAGGAGGTAAGGGCAGGTGAACCAGGATGTGTTCAACAAACCCTAGATACTAGAACCAAAGAACCACTGGATACTAGACAGAGAAAAGGAATAGCTGTGTCATAACGAGGGTATCATATATATCCATCTCAAAGACAAAATCATGGTAACAATACAAGAGCTACCACTTATTGTGCATTTCCTCTGTGCTGGGAATGTAACATTCACTAATTACTTCATTTAGTCCTTACAATAACCATCTGAGGTAGTTACTACTATCATTCCCATTTTAGGGATGTGGAAACCAAGACTCAGAGTTAGTATTAAGTTATTTAAGTCACAAGTTGTGACAGATTCATGATGGGATTTTAATGGATCTCCCGTAACACCGTCACCTACAGACTCCCTGACCACTGGAAACATACAGACTGGTATTAGCAGGGATTATCAAATTCTGGCAAGTAACATGAATACAGAGAGCCACATGACTGCTATGATGCGACACAGCATAAAAGGTAGAGATTAGTGAGGGGGTGACCAGTTAGCTCAGGTGGTTAGAGCGCAGTGCTCATAACACCAGGGTTGCCGGTTCGATCCCCGCATGGGCCGCTGAGCTGCGCCCTCCACAACTAGATTGAAACAACTACTTGACTTGGAGCTGATGGGTCCTAGAAAAACACACTGTTCCCCAATTTAAAAAAAAAGAAAAGGGTAGAGATTAATGATTTGGAGTCACCGGTTTAAGAGTCAGAATCGGCTACGTCTCCATCCCTTCCACGTCTCTGTGACTGGTACTGAATCAGGAGCTACAGAAATGGCGGGCATCACACACACACACACTCACACACACACACACACTCACACACACGCACACACGAGGGAAAAGGATGCTATACTGCAACCTGAAAAAATGTAAAATTTATATTACTTCTAAAACCTAAACCTGTTCTAGGTTTTAAATAATCACTATCGATAATAAAAGACAAAGCAATGTTAGTTAAAAAGGTAAAAATCATAACTAAAAAAGAAACTATCATAATCTGAGTTCCTAAAAAGATTAGAAATCAGATAAAAAGTCAGTGTCAAACTACTTTTGCTACAGCCAACATCTGAGCCCAAACATAATACCCCACCATGTAATGCAGCATTGCCTTTTCAAGTTTATACTTGAAAAACTGGTAATTTGAAGAGAACTCAGCATGTATTCACCTCCAAGCCTCACCCTCATCCCCTCTATTCCCTGGAAAAGTATTGTCAGCTAGAGTTAGTTCTTAATGGAGCAGGATGGCCTTTTAGAAGATACGGCGACCTCAGTAGTTGCCCTTGTCTGCTGCCCTAGCCTGGCACTCCCTTTTAGAAGGCCAATGTCAAGTCTCAAAGGAGAAAGGCTTCTCCTCTGACTCAGAGCAAGCTCTAAAATCCACAGCTAGAAATCTGGACAAGGGCAGGGAATTTTTTTTAATCCATTTTAGTAAATTTGAGATCATGCATACTCAATTTGTTCCTTGACTTGTAAGTGACATATATCACTTTCTGGGTGTTAAGTTAAAAGTCTCTAGTCATGGCCATTACACTGAGAGAACCTTGAACTGTATTCTACCCAGAGAACAAATGTGAAAATAAGATAATTATGAATCATTTCCTTACAGAAGTCAAGACTCATTTTCATTTTAGTTGATGTGCAAGACAGTCCACAAAAACAGTTTGACACCCACGAAAAACCCTGCGATGGGTTACTTGTGGGACTGCAATAGTAATCCTTTATCTGCAAGCAACCACTAGCACCTACACAGCATTTATCGATGACCTGTGGCTGGCTTCAGCACAAACAGACTGGTAACCAAGTAAAATCATTTTGGTAAAAAACCTGCTCTGGGCAGGTTTAGGTTTGTGTGCTTCTCTTCTGTCAAATTAGCTGTAACAATTTGCCATCAACACATTAAGCCTTTTTTAAGGGTCTGTCATTTAGTTTAGCACATGTCTTTAAAATGCATTACATTTCTACAGCAACTGAAATGATTTCCTTGACACTGCTTTTGTTACTTCCTTCAATAAAGTAAGGACGTGCTCTTTATCAGAAACCAACTACATGCCATCAAAATGGTTCTCTTGTGCCCTGCTTTCCAAAGTACGGCTATTAAAACGCCAGCAACATAAGTTTGGGTGAAGGGAACTTGTTCAGTTTTTACTAAGACTAAATTTAAACTATAAACCTGCCTTTAACACGGATTCCTGTATTGCTTCAAGTCTCAGAAGAGAACACTACAATCCCCGAAGACTAAATCGCTTGTCTCCTTTAAGAATGATCAGAATGGCATTGTGCTGAGAGTGACAGTCTGGCTATGTTCTGTTTGTTAATGCAGCAGAGACATGCTGGCCAACTGCAACTGGCTGTAAGTCCTTATCACAAATAAAACTATTTTTGTGCCATTTCTATTTTTCATTTAAACGTTACCAGCTCAAGACCTGTCAAGTGTTCTGTTGCCAAGACTCTGCCTGTCAGAAAGGTCAGCATCCAGTACCTTCCAGTTGGGTCCCAAAGGGCCTCTCTTGGTCTTGACTGACTGGAATAATGCTGGGTCTTCATCAGCTTTGTAGTCCTGCAAAGCAAAACAGAGTCAGAGGCAGTGAAGAAAACCAGAGAAAATTCTTTAACCTTGCCAGAACTGCTCTGTGCAGCTACTAGAACACATGACAGAAACCGATTAGGCTTGCTGTGCTTTTGCACAGAAGGAGGAAAACGCTTCTATAAGACGCTACGTTTTCAGTTTGGTTCTCTTTGCTTTAAACTTTTAAGGCAAAACAACTACATAATAAAAACTAATAAAAGTATCTCTAAGAACAAATCTTCCAACATTTTTCAACAGTTCCAGCATTTTCATTATATATAATCACTTTCAGGAAATAAAACATACCCATTTCAGTTTTGACAATACCCATAAATGATGACATTTGACTCTAATGCCCATTAGAGAGCCACTACCATGACAGGGAACACAGGTCACAACTATCAATGCTGCGGCATCCCTTATCTCTTACACATGCGGGTCTTTGGTGGACGACTCAGCTAGGAAGTCAGGTTTTCCAAACCCTTGTCCACAAAGAGACATGAGGTACACATACCTTGGCTTCCTCATGGAAAAGGGACTGCATTCATGGCAGCCCCTCATTGTCAACGGAGGTAAGAGATGGGTTTACGACTCCATATGGGACCGTCTCAGTTATATATCAGGTCACAGGGGAACCACCCTAAAATTCAGGTTTTATACAAGGTTCTACTGTGTGTAAATTCTATTTCCCTTAATATACTCTTCCTGATAAAACAGAGAAAATGAATGGAATACATCTTTTTAAACCTGTCTGCTTTACAAGGGTTCTTTTGTCATCATACACACAATCTACAGAAAGAAATACAAATTACCTTTGAAGAGCTAAAGTTCAGTTAAAAAAAACCGGAATGAAAAAACAGTGAATAGAGGTCAGACGAAATACTTCAAAAGGACAGCCCTTTCCTTCTCGAGCAGAATTTCTAAATCAGGGGTCCTTCACAGCATTTGTGAAGGCACCACATACTTTGGAGAAAATGCCCAGACAAGTCAAATATGAAAAATTATTGTTCTAGAGCTAAGAGTAGTGCAAGCACTGACTACACTCCAACGTATAATACAAATTTTTACCACTCAATGAAAACATGTTGAGAAGCAGTCAATTAAGACTCAACAGTTACTCAGTAAATGCACGTGACATGATGATAATTCCTAAAGAGAAAGTTATAAAGTGTTAGAAAGAAAAAATGTGAGGTCCAGGTAGAAAACGAAACTAGAGATAACTGGGTAAAAATGGGACCCTGAACTTAAAGCCTGTCTAAATAAAGGTTGTCTTCTCAGATGCTATAAAGGCCCAACAATGGGCTAAAACAATTACATAAGCAAACTCTGCAGGCCACACTGGATCTTACTGCTTTAAAATACGCAATGTGGTGTAGCCAGAGGCATTAGGCCAGTCAGCATTATCCAGGCACAACAAACTGGGATGAGCCGACAGTAAGGATCGGACAACTGGGGTTACCCCATGTGTCTGGGCACATCAGACAGGAGGTTCAATTACCGTCAGGTACATGAATTCTGAAACTCCTTTTTTAGAACCACACTTTCAAAATGAAAAACTTCACTGCCGACTGAGAAAAGAACCAACTGCACAGGGTGGTGATCTTAAGTCCTGGATCCACAAATCAGCTATTGCGCTAACATTAATAATCATGGAATTCCATAAAATATTTTCTTCTAGGTCAGAAACTTGAAATTAAAACTCAGAGACAAGCTCACTTTTCTCCAAAACTGAAAATATTGAAAATCATATCAAATAATCACTTTTGACCTCATCTCCCTCAATCAAGGTCTATTTATTTAACCGCCACCAAGTATTAATGTTAGGTAGTACACAGGATGCTAAGGGATAGTCTAAGAGGTAAAGAGACCCAACACATGATTCTGGCTCCTAAAAAGTCACAATGTAGTTGGGAGAAAGACAGGCAAACAAAGACAACGTTACTGAAACCCCAGAAAGTACACGTTAACTGCCAATAAAGAATGGAGAGAATTAAGAGTCAAAATCGAAACCAACTGACACCAGCCAAGGCAATGTATTTTTAAAATGAGTTTTGACCTCATGTTTAAAGATAGAAAAATCTTACTGCTAGGGTACATTGTGGTAACATTATTTATGATTAAATTCTAATTATCTGTACAATGCCCAGAGGCCAGTGTTTCAGCCCATTTGAGGGAAAATACTTTCTTTTTTACTAACTGGGATGGGACTTCACTGTGGGCATATGATGCTCAACCGCCCCCCCCCCCAAAATGTGAGATATTATGGAGCCTGGCATGAGTTGAATAATAAATACCACATTTCCTGAATCAGAGTTAGAGGGTGCACCATTATTTTATGTACTATTAAGAAGGAAAACATTTAGCCAATAAAGCATGCTATAACTGGATGACAAATCCTGATTTTTTAATATATTAAAATAGGGGGTAACGGGGGTGGGTGGAGAATGATATAGACTGTAGAACTACCTCTGTGGATTCTAAACTTGCCTGCTCCAAGAGAGAAAGAAGAAGCAAAATCCACAAAGTATACACAAATATCAGTAGAGCTAAAGGAAAAAAAAACACTGATAAGAATATAATAAGGGTAGCATATAAATCAAGAATCAAATAATTTAAGAACAGCAAGTTTGGTCGGCATAAATTATACTCATGTGGGGATAAATTAATTAAGAGGGTGACTTCTTCCAGGAGATGGGCCTAAGCATGATTATGGCACCAGTGAAAGTGAAGACATGAAGGAGGGGATGCATTGACAATACCCCTTTCTCCTTCCTAACGCTAGTTCCATACCAGGGTGACAACTTCAGATTGTCACTACCTGTCTGACATAGGATAATTAACTGAAGAACATGGAATAACACTCTAACACTTCCTTGTTCTGGACGTAAATAATACTGGGGGTGCCAAAAAAAATGTATACAAGTGGACACTTCGGTCAACGTTGCTTAAGCAGTAGTTCGCCATAATCAGAAGTGTCTGGACGCTGATGGTAACCGCTTTGAGCACCTCTTGTAATTGCAAAAGTCAAACGTGACTTGTATTCATCTTCTGTTATCAGTACATATTATTACAATTTTAATACAGTTTCCTTTCTTAAAATGTGTATACATTTTTTTTGGCACCCTCTGTATATTTTTCCACAAAGTGTATTTCTGAGCCTTCATTACTAGTGCTAGCTGTTCACTGGGTACTTTTCTGAGCTATGGATTCACAGAATTATACAGGTGAATTGAACCTTGAAGACCATCCAAGCGATCTCATTTTACAGATGAGGAAGCCACAGTCCAAGAAGGAGGTGGTATGGCTGACCTAGGACTTCAACACAAGGCTTCTTAGCCTCTGTGCTAGGCTCATTCTGGGACACTACACAGGAGGGGGGCAGAAGGGTGTCCATAAAAGACAGATAAGCAAAACACCCAAGCAGCAGCAGCACCACCAGATACCAAAGTGGATTTTTCTATAAGAAATGAGTGTGTATATAAAATATTATACATACATATACATATATCTCGAAAGCTAAGTCCTCACTCTCTGCTTTTTTCTCTTGAATACAAAGAAGCAAACATTAAAGATATACCGAAAATGCAACAAAACCCAATTATTAACAATAGCACCTTAACCTTGACAGATGAGGATAATGCACCCTGTCAAAACCTAGGAATTTTTGTGTTTTTATGTTAGGTTGAATACGTAAATGTTTAATCAGTTGAATTAAGTAGCAAGATATTAAAAAGCAGGAAGCAGGTGGAGTTTTAACAACCTGAGTTTTGTACCTCTGTACCAAACATTTAATTTGTTGAACAGTATCTTCTTCACTACGATTTTATTTGTTGGGTATCTAGTTTGGTCTTTCTGTATTTGAAAACTGGCCGATTTATATCCGTATCACAATGAACAAATATATTCCTTCATGTATGACAGTTTCAGCATACAGAATGCAACCTCAGCTACCAATTATAGCTGCAAATGAGCAATAGTGTGGAATGAGACAGCCTGCTGGCTTTGTTAGTATTCTGTCTCCTTTGGGATCCCATGGGGAAAGGGGAGGCTCTGATGAAGAGAAGCCCTTGGCTCATGGTTTATTGTGCTTGCCACCAGCTGCAGACTTCTCATCTCATTAGTTCTTTTAGAATACTGTGGGTGAAGACAGCTGTAGCCTACTTGAGTCTTCAGCTCCTGGGTATTCTGAAGGCTGAATTTGCTATGCACTTTCTGTAATCCTTGGGAAGAAAAGAAAGCAAATTCACTAGGCCAAGGAAATGTATTTGTAAGGTGAGTTTGAAAATCATGTTTAAAAGTAGAAAAATCTTATTGCTAAGGCGTATTGCGTTTAAAATTGTTTATGATCAAATTTTAATTATCTGAATAATGCCCAGAGGCCTGGCCAGGATAAGAGCTTAGTAAAACCATCATTATCAAGTTAGGTGTAATGTCCCCGGACACTACCTGCTCCACCAATATGAGTGCCAGAACAACAGAAAAACACAATGGAATCAGCACATGCTAGATTCGGATTAGTATCAACGCAACTCTATTTAATTGAAAACTCTTATTTAAGTACAAAAGGAGGCAAATGAAAGTCAAGACGCCCTTTGGAGAACACATAAACTATAATATGGTAAATAAATGGATGATTGGGTCTCCACGCTGCATCCACAGAATACATTCATTCAATTCTTATAAATACCTGTTTCTGTCACTGGAATGTAAAAGTTGTGCTGCCTCTTGGGTGTGCATCTGTTACTCACTACAGCTCTCAACAGAAACCAGGTTCATTTTGAAGACAGAGAATATTAGTTTTATGAATCTAGTAGCACAGCGGCTGTCCCCCAAAATACAAGTGCAAAATCTGTGCTGAGCCAACCTAAATGTCCTTGAGCCCAAATTTAACTCATGATTATGAATGGGAAAGTGAATAAGAGGTGGGGGGTGTGCTAGTAGGAGTTTCTTGACAGTCTGTGGAAATACTGAGATGAACTCCAGACGCCAGA